TGCGATGACCTTGAGCCTGGACATCTGTGGTCCCTTTCGCCCAGGTGAAGACTTCCGGAAGAAATCCAAGTATTTCCTGGTGGGCGTCTATGCTATTCCTGTTCGGAAAAATGCAGATGGCACCATTCCGTTGCCTCACAGCATGTTGGACGCCTTGAAGGTGATGGAGACACCGGAGGAGGAAGCAAAAGATGAAGTCTTGTTGCCAGAAGAAGAAGCGGAGGAAGTCCCCGTCCAGGAAGGGGATCAGAAGGCTCTAGAAGAGTGGGAGAGATTGGAAGTCGAGGCTGAGGATGTGGCGGTGATGAACTACACCCTGGTGGAGACGCTGACCTCTCGACAAGGTCCGGAGCTCAAGGCGGGATTGGCCCGCATGCTAGCCCGGCTGAAGTACCTGGGCATGGAGGTGAGACGCGTTCACAGTGACGGAGCTGGAGAGATGCTTGGGACGAGAAGGTGGTGCGAAGCCAGAGGCATTTACCGAACCTTCACCAGCGGCAGTGACTGGAAAGCAAATGGTCGGGCCGAAGCAGAGGTGGGGGTGATCCGTCGGGGCATCAACACGCTGATTCGTGCTTCAGGTGATGGGGAAGAGATGTGGCCTTTGATGGCGAAGCACGTGGGTGAACGTCGAGGACGACTACAACTCCAGGCCTTGGGTTTCTCAACTCCAAGCTTGATGCCGTGGGGGAGGAAGGTTATGGTCACGACCAAGGGCTGGGATGACTTCCAGGGGCACTGGAGACAAAGGAAGAAGCCCGGTGTGGTTCGGGGGCCCGATCCCGAGATGAGTCTGACAAGTGGCGGACATCTGGTGGAGATTGAGGGTCGCAAGTACATCCGAACCGATGATATGGTCTTGGCAGAGGAACCTCCTTCGCTAGAAGATGTGGTGAACGTGAAGGAAAGGTCGGAACCGGCTTGTATCCTGGACGGTGCTGCAGTTCCCAAGAGAAGGCTGTACGAGAAGACAGCTTTGTCCTACTTGTCGGCCCAGGAACTACAAGAGCGTCTTCACCGAGGACAGGCATGGGCCAATGAGGAGTTCGGCCGCTTAGAGACAAACCTGGGTGGAGAGGATTGCTCAGTGGCAACCGTCTTTGATCTGGACTCCGAGAATGAGAAGATTGAAAAGTTGGTTCAGGACTTGGCGATCTCCTGCAAAAAATTGGAGGTGGAAGCAGCTCAAGTGGCAGGAGAGGATGAGGAGATCTTTCTGCAGACAAGAACTATAAGTCTCCAAGAGGTGAGGAAGTCGTTGCCTTTGTGGATTCCCTCGCTCCGCACGGAGATTGAGAACTTTGATAGCAACAATGCCATCAAGCGGATCGATGAGGAGACCACCCACCGAATCATGTCAGAAGCCCAGAAGAGAGGAGAAAGGGCTGAGTTGATCCCCGGGATGGGTGTCTTCACCAGAAAAGCAGGAGATGGCAGGCGGAGATCAAGAATAGTGTGCTGCGGGAATCACATGGAGGCTCGAACAGGAGAAGAAGTCTATGCCACTGGAGCTGACTCAACGCAGCTAAGGACAGTGTTGCGCCTGGCATCCCTTCAACAGTGGGACTGTTTGTCCCTGGACGTCAAATCGGCTTTTTTGCTTGCTCCCAAAGCTCAAGGAGAAACGGTGATTGTCAGACCACCCAAGATCTTGGAGGAGGCAAAGCTGGCTGAACCTGGAGAGCATTGGCTGGTCACATCGGCCATGTACGGCCTGACAACCTCTCCCAAGGACTGGAGCACCTTTCGCGATTCAGAGCTGCAGAAGATGATCGGCGTGGTGGAAGAGGAACAAAGAATGGTTGAAGTGGCTTTTCGCCCTATGGAAGATCCCAACCTGTGGGCAATCCAAGAGTTCTCCACTTCCGAGAAGGAGGGCACCAAAATATGGGGAAAGGTCAGGGGCCACATGATCGTCTATGTGGATGACATCCTCACGGTTGGACCACGGTGGATCACGGAGGCCGCTTCCAGAGCGATCCAGAAGCAGTGGTCTACATCACCTCCGGAGTACTCCAACGTGGGTGGCAGCTCTATGAGGTTTCTGGGGATTGAGATCCAACGGCTGCAGGGTGGGTCGTACTTCCTGCACCAAGGCTGCTATACCAGGGAGGTCGTTGATCGTCATCCCTATGGCTCGTCAACACCATTCATCAGGGTGCCCGAGGAGAAGGAGGAGGACGAGGCGATCTCACTGCCGAAGGTCAGGGAAGCTCAAAAGATAACAGGTGAACTCCTCTGGCTGTCTGGTAAGACGCGGCCTGATCTGTCGTGGGCAATCATGAAGATGGCTCAGAATGCAGTCAGGAAGCCACGGTGGACAGTGGAGCTGGGCGATGCAGTTTTGGCTTATCTCAGAGGCACTTTGAACTATGGCCTTCACTACACCAAGGATGTCCCGGAGGACTCAGCCCCGGATCTGAAGAGGTGTCAACCACGCCACGAGGGAACATTGGAGGTGCTGGTGGATGCTTCTTTCTGCCCTGGTGATAGCCACAGTATTTCGGGTACCATCATCCTTTTGGCCGGGTGCCCAATACAGTGGGAGAGCAAGAAGCAAAGTTTGATGGCTCTTTCGACAGCAGAAGCGGAGCTGACCGCGATTGTGGAGGGCCTACAGTCTGGTAGATCTGTGAGGTCTCTGGTGAACTTGCTCTTTGATAAGGTCGATTTGGAGATCTTCAACGACAATCGCGCAGCGGTGGTTCTGGCGTCAGGTGCAGGAGGGGGATGGAGGACTCGGCATCTACGGATTCGCGCCAGCTGCCTTGCAGAGTCGTTGAAGGTCGGAGAAACCACGTTGAGCCATCGTGCAGGCACCTCTCTATGGGCGGATGGGTTGACAAAACCGCTTCCTACACAGGTGCTGAGTCGCTTCTGTCGTGGCATTTGGCTGGGCGATCCTTCCTTGGCGGTGAACGATGAGGGGGGTCGATGTGAGACGCAGGTGATCGCCACCTCTCCAAATGTCAAGATGCTCAAATCACTGTCGCTGTTGGTTGCCGGAGCAGCACTTCTTCCACAGTCCCGAGCAGCTGAGACGTGTGAGATAAAGGAGACCAGGGGGGAACAAACCACTGGTTCATGGGCTGATCAAGGGTGGCTGTTGATGTTGGCGGGTTTGGTCTGCTTCCTTCACTTCATCAAGGAGATGGGGTGGGAGTTGGCAAAGAAGCTGTTCAGCAAGAAAGAGCAGCTGAAAGTCAAGCTGTTGGATGACCAAGCAAGTCTGCCAACGAGGGCATCTTCTCAAGCGGCAGGCTGGGACTTAGCTTCATCATGCTATGTGGAGCTGAAGCCCGGGGAAAGGAAGCTGGTCCCGTTGGGAATCTCTGTGGAGCTGCCCGCAGGTTGCTATGGCAGGATCGCTTCTCGAAGCTCTTTCGCCCTACGGGGTATTGACGTTGCTGGAGGTGTGATTGACCCTGATTATCGAGGAGAAGTGAAGATCATCCTGGTGAACAATGGGATGGATGACCTCGTAATCAATGCTGGTGACCGTATTGGCCAGTTGGTTCTTGAGCGCTTTGCTGTGGTGGAAGCAGTGAGTTCAAGGGCTCTGTCATCTACAGAGCGAGGAGATGGGGGCTTCGGAAGCTCTGGCGTTGCCGCACGGCGTTTATCCAGGGTCCACTCTGATCCTCACAAGGACATCATTGCAGAACCCCTGGAAGGTGAAACTGGACACACGGAAGACATCCCAGCGAGTCCTAGTCATGCATTTTTTGAGGGTGTGTACACAGCCAGGAGTGGTGAGACTATGATCGATTTTGTCACTCGGCTGAAGAATCAAGAGCTCTATGAATTTCGATGGATGTTTCCACCAGGTCTGATGGCAGAGCTCTTCCCAGACCGACTTCATGGGGCTCCTATGACCTTCAACCAAAAGGTGCTAGGTGGCACGATTCAGGTTTTGGTGCACCGGCATTCGAACATGAGAAAGAAGTTGTTTGACTCCGAAGCTTCAGCTCCGCCACCGCGAGATGGCATCACAGCTGGAGTGGTGACGTTGGGGTGGGCAGAGGACGGCATGATCTTTGCCAGGGTCGACAATCGAAGAGGATCCCGTTCGATGTGCTACCTCAAATCGCAATGGAAGGGTATGAGCCTCTTCTTTTCTTGGCTGCAACCACTGGGGAGCTCCCGGTGAAGGGCGAGAAGGAAGCGCTCTATGGTGACCCGCTGAGAGAGCTAGTTTGGTTTTTGTGTGCTTTTTCATGACCAGGCCCTTCAAATGGGGAATGGACATCGGTCTGAGTTTGTTCGATAGTTTCGTGCTGTCTTTGCTTAGAGTCACCACCTGAGACCCATCCTACGAAGGGCTTGAGTCCGCTTGGTTTGTGAAGCTGTGCCTTCCTCTTTTGAGAACCCGACGAACTCGGGAGGGGGGAGCAGAAATGGCACAGCCTTTTCCATGTCTTGTGAAGCTTGAACAGTTGAGCATGGGCATTCACCTGTAGCCCTTTGTTTGCACAAGGAAAATAGAAGCAGTTTGAGCGGCGTAATTATATATATATATACACGTACATAAGCCCTTTACCTATAACATTGACCCTGTGATCGACCACCTTAACTGCTCAGCAAACCAGCACTAGGACCTGCACTGACCAGC